ACTGTTTCCAAACTCTGGGCTTTTTATTCTGTTTGTAAGACTAATACCCAGGAGTTCGTGAAATGGCTCAGTGTGAAAACAGAGGCGCATGCTACCCAGCCTAGCTAACAACTTGAGGTGAATTCTTGGGCTCCACATGGTAGAGGGAGAAAACCTACTCCTCACCACCAACCCCTTTAGGGGGTACATGTGTGCCTGCACGCGTGCGCACTCGTGTGTGTGTGTGTGTGTGTGTGTGTGTGTGTGTGTGTGTGTGTGTGTGTGTGTGTGTTAGAGAGAACACACAGTAAATAAAGGCAGGACAGTGGTAGGGTACACCTCTGTGAGTTCAAGGTCAGCCTGTTCAACAAGAGCTTAGTTCCAGGAAAGCTCCAAAGCTACAGAGAAACCCTGTCTCAAATAAACAAACAGATAAATAAAGGATGCTTAGATACTGAGCACAGGAGGGCAGGAGAGATGACTCGGCAATTAGGAACATCTGCTCTTGCAGCACTGGGGCTCACTTCTCAGCACCCACTCTGGTGGTGCCTTCTGCCCTCTGCATGCACACGAAACGAACATGAAAACTGCCACTTCCCTCCTCTACTCACCCTCTCCATGTTCTCTATCCTCTCTCATTTGTCCTGAAGCTTGAACCCAGAGCCTATTACTTACTAAAGAAAAACTCTAAAACGAACCCATATACTGACTCTCCACTATTAAAAAAATAATTCCCTAGAGCTACAGTGATGGCTCAGTGGTTAAGAGCACTTGCTGCTCTTCAGGACCCAGGTTCTATTCCTAGATGGCTCACAACTCTAACTCCATGCCCTCTTCTGACCTCCATGGGCACAGACATACATGCAGGTACAACACCCATACATATAAAATTTTTAATTTAAAAAAGTTTCTTGTGTATTCATTTTAAAGAAACCGACTTTAACATCTAATTTATCCTAAAGTGTGGTTATTATGGATCCTTAAAATAATTTTAAAAAACAACAGAATACAGGCAGGAGAGATGGCTCAGAAGTTGAGAGCATTGACTGCTCTTCCAGAGGGCCCAGGTTCAATTCACAATATACACACAGCAGCTCATAGCTGTTTGTAACTCCAATTCCAGGGGACCTTCACACAGACATACATGCAGGCAAAACAACAATGTACATAAAGTAATTTTAAAAAACAATAGAATATACTGGGTGTGATGGTGCTCACTTACAATCCCAGCACTTAAAACAGGGGCTCTCAACCTTCCTAATGCTGCAACCTTTTTTTCACAATTCCTCATGTAGTGGTGACCCCAACCATAAAATTATTTTGTTGCTACTCTGTAACTGTAATTTTGCTACTATTATGAATTGCCTTGTAAATAATGTTGTAATTTAAAAAGCAGTAACAGAAAGATGCCATGCGACAGAGCTCATGTGGAGGGTATATTTTTGCGGGAGAGGAAACAGAAAATGGGGGAAAGGAACTGGAGGAGACTGGCCTCTGGGGACAGGAGCAGCAGGAGAGGCAGAGAGAGAGAAGGGGGAGAGACAGGCAAAGAAGCAGGGAGAAGAAGAAAGAAAGGAACAGAAAGAGACAGGAGATGGGCAGGGGTCTTTTAAAAGTGTAGTGAATGTGCCCAGCAGGTTCTCTTAGTGGCTGCAGCCAAGATATAGCCTCTAGGAACCCCAAGGTCAGGCCAGGACAGATGCCTAAATACTACAAATATCTGATATGTGACCCCTGTAAAAGGGTTGTTAAACTCCAAAGGAGTCACAACCCACAGGTAAAGAACCACTGACTTAGAAGGTAGACAGGAGGATTAGGAAAGTCAGCGTCACCAACTACATGAGACACTGAAAGCTAGTCTTGGCTTCATGAAGCCCTATCTCATAAAAGCCAAACAATGAAACTGAAAAGAAAATCTGATATATGTAGCACTAGCTGGCCTGGAAGGCAGAGAACTGCCGCCTCTGCCACCTGAGTGCTGGGATTAAAGTGCTGTTCAAATACAGAGCACCATGTACCAGTCAACTCAACTGAGAGGAAGAAGACTAAACCTTCACAGCACAAGCTTCCTGTCTGAAGCAGTGCAGTAATACACCTTCCTCTGTGACACCCGTTCTTTCAAACCGATTTCCCACATACCCAGTGTATTTGAATGGACTCTCTGTAAACTGTTTAAAGCTATGCTCGTGCTTGGTATATTCTAAATACGAGTTATAGGTGTTATTATAAATACCTTCTCTTCTGGAGTTCCTATTTGGTAATATCTTTTTAAATTTTTTCAGAATTTCACACATGAAGTTCTGTACAGGTATTTACAATGATGCCTTCTTTTTGTTCTGTTTTGTTTTGAAGATGGAGTTTTTCTGTCTAACAGTCCTGGCTGTCCTGGAACTCACTTTGTAGATGAGGCTGGCACTGAATTCAGAGATCTGCCTGCCTCTGCCTCCTAAGTGCTGAGATTAAAGGTGTGTGCTATTACACTTTTTCCTTTTAAGATTTATTTTATATGTACACCACACCTAGTGTTTACAGAGGTTACTTATGTGTATGAATGTTTTGCCTGCATGTAAGCCTGTGTCCTAAGTGTGTGCAGTGCCTACAGAGGCCAGAAGAGGGTGTGGAAACTCGAGTTACAAGCCCTTTTGACAGGCTGTGTGGGTGCTAGGAACTGAATCCAAGTCCTCTGCAACAGCAGTAAGTACTCTTAACCATGGATCCATCTCTCTCGCCCTTATAATGATGTCTTTTGATATGAAGAAGTTTCTAATTTGAAGGCAGTCAAGTTTTTCAATTATTTTATGGTTAGTATTCTATGAGGACCTATTTTTTTCTATTGTTCTTTTTGAAAAAAATTAATGTTCTTCTAAAAAGAATTGCTAAAAAAAGTTTCCCACTTTTAAGTTACTTGTAAGGCTCAAAATAAGATTGACGACAATAAAACTCATACACTAATTAACATAAAGATTAAAAGCCGGGCATGGTGGACACACACACTTTTAATCCCAGCACTCAGGAAGCAGAGGCAGATGAAAGCCAGCCTGTACACATAGCAAGTATGCCTCCAGCCAAGACTACATAGGGAAACCATCCCCCAAAGCAAAGCAAAAACCATAAACGTTAAAAAATTCAGCACCAACAAGAGAAGAAAAAATAAGAAGAAGGCATAAAAAAACAGACCCATCAGTTTTGGCACATGCCTTTAAGCAGCACTCAGGAGGCAGAGGCAAGCAGAACTCAAGAGTTCAAGGCCAGCCTGGTCTACAGAATGAGTTCCAGGACAGCCATGGCTACACAGGGAAACCCTGCCTATAAATAAATAAATAAAAAACAATAATAGAACCCAGGCCTAAAGGATGCTACTGAATTTAAGCTTAAACTGTAGCTGTGTCACCCTCACTAAACATAGGGCAGATGCAAGTCTGGAAACTTCCTTCCTTTCTCCCGCAGTGCTGGAACACAGCAGGCAATAGCTCCACTGCCTAGCCTAGCCATAGTTCCTGGATGTAAAAGGGGCCACCTATCATGTTATCATGTTCAACCGCAATAAAAGGGGCTGGTGGTGGGATAAATTGGAAAACTGTTTTTCCTTTTTTTTTTTTTTTTTGGTGACAGAGTCTTTCTATGGCGCTCTGGCAGTCCTGGAACTATGTAGGCCAGGCTAGCCTCAAAATCAGAGATCTGCCTGCCTCTGCCTTCCAAGTGCTGAGATGAAAAAGGTGTGCAACAATTCACCCAGCCTTGTATTTACTTTTAAAATGCACTGTCTATGAATAAGGACAATGTGAGGTTTACGGCACTTCAAACAATGAAATTAGACCATAGAGACCTCATCTGGAAGGAACAAGTGCAAGACTGAGTTTCTTTCCAATTCTGAGTAACACTTTCCATTGCTTAGGAAATATTCAATAATTGTAAATTAAAAAATAAACTAGCAGCTGGGTGGTGATGGCATATGCCTTTAGTCCCAGCACTCGAAAGGTAGAGGACAGCCAGAGATCTATACAGTGAGTTCCAGGTCAGCCTGACTTACATAGTAAGATTATCTTTAAAAAAAAAAAGAAAAAAACAAAAAACAAACTAGCAACTACTCACTGTCAGTCTATCTCTCAACTGTGCAAATGTTAAGGATTTATTATAGGATAAACTCACAAAACAACAATCAACAACTTTTGGTGCAAAAAAAAAAAGCAAATGATTCACATCGCTTTGGGAGCGGGAGGAGTATATAATTCTCAAAAGAAGGTCCAAGGCTCAAGTGCTCAAAAAAGGGGAAATTTTCATACACTGTATCTTTTACTTTTGCTTTGCCTAATATAAGTGTCATGCTTAGAATTGAAAATTTGTCAACCAAGTTTTCTGGAATACATTAGAGCAATGGTTCTCAACCTCCCTAAAGCTTTGACTCTTTGACACCCTGGTTTTCTGATGACAGCCGCTTCCCGTTCGTCCCCACCCCCCAACCCCGGCAGTCGTCTCAGAGGCTCTGGAAGCCTCGGTCGCCGTCCGCCCCAACCGCTGCCCGGGCCCTTCCGCGCCCCAGCGTCGCCAGCCTCTGCTCACCTCGGCCCCTGACAGGAAGGGATGCGAGGGCCCAGTGATCGTCAGGTAATTGTCATTTCCTCCGGGAAACTGTAAACCAAAAACAGCCACGGGGATGAGCGAGCGCAGCAGGGACGGGCTCCCCGCGGCCCCGTCGACCCTCCCGGCGCGGTGCCTACCTCCATCTTCGCGGCAGCACTAGCAGCTTCTCCGCGTCCTCATCGCTCCCACCAGCCCCGCCGGGTTCCGAGCGCGTCACTTCCTCCAGGAGGAGCGTCGCTGTCCGCTGATTGGGCGGAACCCCGGCCGAGCCCGTCGCCAGCCGAGCTGCCCGGAGGCTCGCTGTCGCCCCCTGGAGCTTGGTGGGATGATGGCATGTACAAGAGCGCGGGGCGGCCCTAGAGGCGGCGTCGGGTTCTCGGGAGCCAGCGAGGATTCCTGCGGAGAGCAATAGAGACGCGGCCCGAGCTAGAAGGGCTGGAGCGGAGGCAAAGCGGGAGAGCGGTAGATTGGGTGGCTAGAGAGGTCGGAGGTAAGTGGCCAGAGGAATCGGGCGGACCCGGAACACAGACGCCTCGGGACCATGACTTACGCTTATCTCTTTAAGTACATCATCATCGGAGACACAGGTAACCCGCGGGGCACCGCCGTCGGGGCCCGGGGCCCACCTCCGAAAGCGGCCTGGGGGCGGGGCGGGGCGAGTGGGCCGGGCGAGCCGGGGCGAGCGGAGGGGGCGGGGCGAGCGGAGGGGGCGGGGCTCTGTCCTCTCCCTGGACCCTGGGCCTCTCCCGGGAGCCCGCGGCTTCCCGGGTGGCGTGTCCAGTGCACACCGTCGTTTTTCAGGTGTGGGGAAGTCATGCCTCCTCCTGCAGTTCACCGATAAGCGGTTCCAGCCCGTGCACGACCTCACAATAGGTAAGCGTATCCCCTCGTTCCAGAACCGAGGAAAGCTGTCTGACTGAACTGCTTGCTGAAGGAGAAAGTTCACAGCCCCGGTGTTCTAAGCAAAAAATTACGCCTCCCTGCCTTAGTCCGAAGGCATGGTATATGAAAAACGATAAAAGCTGGTAATAGAGGGTAAATAACTGAAAGGTGACTTTAGAGATGGACGTGAGATAAACACTAGTTGCCATAGCATTTTTTTCTTCAAATGCAACTTGTATGTTTATGGAAAATCCCACGAAAACACAACTGCTTATTCAAAAACTCATCTGTACTTAACTACCAACCTCACGTTTTTCGAATTAAACACGGACAAACGATTCTTTTTGTGTTGGAGAGGAAAAAGTCCATTTAAGAGCCATCCCAGTCCTTCCTTCTCTTCCTCCTCCCACTTCTCATTCTCATGCTTTTTGAGACAGGTTCTGCACTTGTAGTCCAGGCTAGCCGCACAGTCACTCTATAATGCACACTGACCATGAATTCCCAGAGATTCTCCTGCCTCAGCCACCAAGTGCTGTGATTGCAGGCATGCACTGTCAAACGGGCTTCATTTTTTTTTTTTTTTGCGCCAAATACTGGCTTTGAACTCCTTGTGTAACCTGAAGATGCCCTTGAACAGGCCTTAATTTTACTGTGCCTCCATCTTCTAAATGCTGGAATTAATTGTGCTCAACCTGGTTGGTTTTTGTTGTTGTATTAGTTTCTTATTCATTTATTATTATTATTATTATTTTCACATTGAGACTTTTATTAACGATAAATGCTCACCCAACAGCTCAGGCTTGTTATTAGATAACTCTTGCACTTATATTAACCCATATTTCTTATTTTTATTCTGTCATGAGGCTTTGTACCTTTCCTCAGTATGACAAACTCATGTTCTTCTCTCTGTGTCTCCTCCCAATTCTGAGACTCACCCCTACTTTTTCATGTTCTCTTTTTGTATGCAAGTCCCTTCTAACTTCTACCTGATCGGTCAGCATCTTTATTAACCCACTCACAGTGATAAATATTTACATAGAATAAAGGAATATTGCACACTGGTTGTTGCTCACTACAGTGTATTCGAGGTCTTCAAACACATGAGCTTCCTCACATTCTCTGGTAATCCCACTTCCCTGTAAGAGTGCTGGAATTACAGCTGTATGCCAACATGTCTGGCTTAACATAGGTTCTAGGTATCCAAATTCAGGTCCTTCCCTTTATATATTATTATTATTATTATTGGTTTTTCGAGACAAGGTTTCTCTGTGTAGCCCTAGCTGTTCTGGAACTAGCTCTGTAGACCAGGCCGATCTCAAACTTTTTATTTATTTATTTATTAAAGATTTCTGTCTCCTCCCTGCCACCGCCTCCCATTTCCCTCCCCCTCCCCCAATCAACTCCCCCTCTCTCATCAACCCAAAGAGCAGTCGGGGTTCCCTGCCCTGTGGGGAGTCCAAGGACCTCCCACCTCCTTCCAGGTCTAGTAAGGTGAACAACCAAACAGCCTTTTGGTTTCTTGAGACAGGGTTTCTCTGTCGCTTTTGGAGTCTGTCCTGGAACTAGGTCTTGTAGACCAGGCTGGCCTCAAACTCACAGAGATCCACCTGCCTCTGCCTCCAGAGTGCTGGGATTAAAGGCGTGCACCGCCACCACCTGGCTGAAATTACATTCTTAACTATTTTGAAAGAACGGAAAACTGACAGAACTGACAGTGATTTTTTTTTTCTTTTTCAAAAAGTACCTTTTGGGGCTGGAGAGATGGCTCAGTGGTTAAGAGCATTGACTGTTCTTCCAGAGGACCTGAGTTCTATTCCCAGCTACCACATGGTGGCTCACAACCATCTGTAATGAGATCTGGTGCCCTCTTCTGGCATGCAGGCATACATGGAGGAAGAATTTTGTATACATAATAAATAAATAAAATCTTTAAAAAATATATCTTTTGACTTTTGATGAAGTAACAGGTGGAAACAATTTATCTTTCTTATAGATTGTAGCACTTAAAGTAGAAATATTATATATAGAGAGGATATCTACATAGGATGACTGAATTGGTATAACATTTCTGAAGGTAAACTGGATTAATTATCTTGAAAATCTGAATTCCTTGTGCTATGTGCAAAATACCGTATGAAAATAGAAAAGGGGACAAATTGTCTGACTTATGATGTAATGTTTTAAACATGACTGTTTTTGGAATATTGTCCTTGAGATGAATTTTACCTTGAAATAGAAGAATAACAAAATCCTTATCTGTTTGCCTGTTTCCATACCGCTTTGAGAGAGGCAATTTCTGGCGAACTCTGGGAATTACTGGTGGTTGAAGATATTTTGTCCTTGAACAAGGCAGCTTTCTTCCTTTCTTTCTCCTTTCTTCCTTTTTTTCTCTTTCTTTCTTTTTTTCTTCTTAATGTGTGTTGTGTTTTTCAAGACAGTGTTTTTCTGCACAGAACAGCCTTGGCAATCTCAGAACTTGCTCAGTAGACCAGACTGGCCTTGAACTCACAGAACTCCACCTGCTTGTTGTCAACTTTCTTAATTGCACATGAAAATAATTTCAGAATTGCAGTAAAGAAGTGCTGATTCAGGGCTGGAGAGATGGCAATAGCAGTTAAGAGCACTGGCTGCATATGTGTGTACAGGTGTCTACAGGGTCCCCTGGAGCTGGAGTTAAAGGTGCTTGTGAGCCATCAGGCATGGGAACCAAACTCTGGTCCTCTCCAAGTGCTCTTAACTGCTGAGCCACCTCTGCAGAGCCCCGCCCCCGGGTCTTTTTTTTTTTTTAAGATTTATTTATTTATTTTATATGCATTGGTGTTTTGCTTGCTTGTATGTCTGTGTGAGGGTGTTGGATCCTTTGGAACTGGAGTTACAGATAGCTGTGAGCTGGCATATGAGTGCTGGGAATTGAACCAGGGTCCTCTGGAATCGCAGCCCTTAACCTCTGAACCATTTCTCCAGCCCTGCCTTCCCAACCAGAGACATGTTTGTTTTGTTTGTTTTTCTTTTTTTTTTTGTGAGACAGGGTTTCTCTATGTAGCTTTGGATCCTGTCCTGTCTTAGAACTCACTGTGTAGATTGGGGTGGCCTCGAAGTCAAAGAGATCCACCTGCTTCTGTCTCCTGAGTGCTGGGAATAAAGGTGTGTGCCACCACTGCCTGGCCCCAGGGTCTTAATACAGTAAATTTTGTCCTGATTTTAAAATCAGAACAAGCCAGGCGGTGGTGGCGCACGCCTTTAATCCCAGCACTCGGTAGGCAGAGGCAGGTGGATCTCTGTGAGTTCGAGACCAGCCTGGTCTACAAGAGCTAGTTCCAGGACAGGCTCCAAAACCACAGAGAAACCCTGTCTCGAAAAACAAAAACAAAAACAAAACAAAAAAAAAAGATTAAAAAAAGAAAAAAAAGAAATCAGAACAGTGAAAATATTTGTATTTTTAGATTTTAATTAGCTTTATTCCCTTATCTACATTTGGGTGTATTACCACTTAGAATCCACTTATTTATTCTTGGTGCAAGGGATTAAACCAAGAAACTTATGTCTTTTGCAATTGCACAACCACTGAGGTATACATAGAGATGTAGAATGTGATGTCTTTTTCAACTTGTGCAGCCTCAGGCCAACCTTGAATTTGTTACACAAGTGATGATGACCTTGAACTTTTGATCCTAGTGTTCCTGCTGCCTCAACCTCTTGAGAGCTGGGATCACAGTCACTGCCATGACCAGTAAAGGGGTTTCTGTGTGTGTGTGTGTGTGTGTGTGTGTGTGTGTGTGTGTTGCGCGCACGCGCTCGAGTGAGCATGCAGGTGCCCATGGGGTCCAGAAAAGGGATCCTTTGGAGCTGGAGTTACAGGCAGTTATGAGCTATCTGATGAGGGTGTAGGAAAACAAATTCCGGTCCTCTACAAGAGCAGTATATGCTTTTATTTCTTTTTTTCAAAGATTTATTTATTTATTACGTATTATTTATTACGTATATAGTATTCTGTCTACATGTACCTTGTGGGCACTGAGAATTGAACTCAGGACCTCTGGAAGAGCAGTCAGTGCTCTTAACCTCTGAGCAATCTCTCCAACCCCATGCTCAGTTTTGTTTGATTCTAGGGATTGAGTCCAAGGCCTCATGCATGCTAGGCAAGTTCTTTATCAAGTGAGTGACATCCCCCTAGTCCATGGATTTTTAATTCTAGAAAAGAAGTACAAAGGAATACAAACTTAATTGAGCAATAAACAGCAGTAATGGGCTGAATGTCAGTGAGTGAAGACAAAACATTCATGCTAACACTTTGGGGGAAAGTATGCACCTCCAGATCAACATGTATGTATTCATAACAGCCGTATCCGTTCTCTGTCTTCATTGGCAGGTGTGGAGTTTGGAGCGCGTATGGTCAACATTGATGGAAAACAAATCAAACTGCAAATCTGGGATACGGTAAGAGAGGGCGAAAAAATTTACTACCAGACCAAGACCCAGTTATAACAGTAAAAGCTAATGTAGCCATGTGTGGTGCTATACCCCTGTAGATTGAAAACTATAGGATGAGGCAAGAAGCTGAAGAAAGGTCAAGCCAGGAGGGATTACATACTGAAATACTCAGATGAAAAAAAGTCACACTTTTTTTATTTGAAGTGGCTCGATTTTGTGTGCCAGTGGTGGCGTATGCATTCAGTCACAGCCCTCAGGACACAGAGGCAGGCAGATCTTTGTGAGTTCAAGTCCAGCATGGTCTACAAAGCAACTTCTAGAACAACCAGGGCTAAACAGTGAAACCCTGTCTTGAAACCCCCCCCCCAAAAAGAGACATAAGTAATACAGTAAAATATAAAAAACAAAGTTTATGTAGCAAAAAGTATATTTCCCTTTCCATAAGACCTTTTCTGACCCACACTGTGGCTATTCTGCCAGAGGAATCCACTGCTAATGATTCAGTATATATGCTTTCAGACTTCTGTGCATTTAAATTCATAAATAATGGGCATTTTGCCAGGAATGATGGTGCACACCTTTAATCCTAGCACTGGGGAGACAGAGACAAACAGGATCTCTGTGTTAGAGGCCAGACTGGCCTACATAGTGAGTTCTAGTCCAGACAGGCTACAGAGTGAGACCTGTCTCAGTAAAACAAATAAATATAAATAAGTAAATAAAAGTACAAGTACACAGTAGAGTTGTTTTCTTTATTATTATACAATGTTCTGCCTGCCTGTTTGCCTACAGGCCAGCAGAGGGCACCAGTTCTCACTACAGATGGTTGTGAGTCACTATGTGGTAGCTGGGGATTGAACTCAGCCTCTAGAAGAGCAGCAGCCAGTGCTCTTGACCCCTGAGCCTTTCCTCCAGCCCAAGATTTTTCAAAGACTTTTTTTTTTTTTTTTTTTTTTTTTTTTTTTTTTTTTTTTTTTTTTTTTTTTTTTTTTTTTTTTTTTTTTTTTGTTTTATTTTTTTTTTTTTAATCTCCTCCTTTTTAAATTATGTTTTCAACTTTTTTTTTTTTTTTTTTTTTTTTTGGTTTTTCGAGACAGGGTTTCTCTGTGGTTTTGGAGCCTGTCCTGGAACTAGCTCTTGTAGACCAGGCTGGTCTCGAACTCACAGAGATCCGCCTGCCTCTGCCTCCCGAGTGCTGGGATTAAAGGCGTGCGCCACCACCGCCCGGCCTCAAAGACTTTTTAAAATTTATTCACCACTTGTGTGTGGCAGGATTTGCGTGCAGCCTAGTGCATGTGGAAATGAGACACCTGCTTTGCGGAGCGTCCTCCTCCCAGCTTTTCAAGGGTTCCGTGAGTGTTGTCACAGAAGTGTGTATGGATTGGTGGATATTTAGGTTGTTTCTAAAGCCATTGCACAGCTTATTAAACACTCTTTTATTATAATATTATACAAATATTTGAGAATTTCTATGGGCTATCTTCCTAGAAATAGGAAGACAGCCAAAAAAAAAAAAAACACAACTTTTTTTTAGGGCAAAGTTTGACTTGGTTTAAGGTAATTTTTCCTAATCTAGAGAAATTGCCTTTGTGTTCAATGTTTCATTTATATTATTCCTTCCTTATAGGAAATATTGTAGTCTCTATTCTAGTTAAGGAGAACTAGAAAATAGTTCAAAATATTTAGCTAAAGTCTCATCCTGTTTTTATTTAATTCTTATTATTTGACCGTGGTTGTTTTTTTCCTCAGACTTGCCTCATTTGGCCAGTTTTTGTTTTTAGCACTCTGCCCCCATAAAGCCTATGGACTCTGACTTCATTGTCAGGGTTCGCGCCCTGTTTCAGTCCCCACACACTCCCTTCTGCTGCTGTTCTGAGGCCATTGTCATTCTTCACTCACAACTCGATGGTGTTTCCGTTAACGGGAGCCCCCATCCAAGAGTGAAGCCAGTGGAGATAAAAGACCAGTATAAGTTAGCTTCTGCCTTTTTGACTTAAGTTAATGTCACTTAGTTTTTTCTTTTTAAAAACAGGACCTCAGATAGCCCAGGTAGCTGTGTAGCTAAGGATAACCTTGAACTCCTTATTCTCCTGCCTTTATCCCAATTACAGGTGTGTGCCACCATATCTGTATAAAAAAATAAATGTTGGGCTGGAGAGATGGCTCAGAGGTTAAGAGCATTGCCTGCTCTTCCAAAGGTCCTGAGTTCAATTCCCAGCAACCACATGGTGGCTCACAACCATCTGTAACGAGGTCTGGTGCCCTCTTCTGGCCTGCAGGCATATACACAGACAGAACATTGTATACATAATAAATAAATAAATATTAAAAACACAACAACAACAACAAAAAAGACAACACTTCTCCCACACACACCAACAAAACAACAACAAAAATCAAAACAGAACCCAGCATCTGGCTTATAGCTGATATTTCAAACTTTATATCTTACTCTCTGGTGGGAGAAATTAAAAGGCTGTGGAGTCTCTTCACCAGAGATCCACGTACCACTTGATGTTGGTGGCTGGCCTGCACCTGTGTCCCACCTGTTGTTCTATTGCTGTGAGAAGACATCGCAACCAAGACAGTTCTTAGAAAGAAAGCATTTAACTGGGCGCTTGCTCACAGTTATAGAGGGGTATTCAGTGGTCATCAGAGCAGGGAGCAGACTGCCAGGCACTGGGACAGCAGCTGAGAGCTTCACCTCCTGATTTGCAAGTATCAGTCAGAGCCCAACCTCAGGGACACACTTCCTCCTACAAGGCCACACCTCCTAATCCTTCTCAAACAGTTCTACTAACTGGGGCCCAAACATTCAAACATGAGCCTATGGGGCCATTCTCTTTCACACAACCTGTATGCTGGTCCCTAGCAGGATGGAGCAGGAGCTCCTTGAATTCATGGCTGACTGAGCTATGTTGAGAGTTGTAGACTCAGATTCACAAAATAAAACCCAGAACAAGAAAACTCCATGTTAGTTGTTAGTTAGTTAGTTCAACCATTTTTAAGTGAACATGGACAAAGATATTTGAGACTGATGTAGACCACCTAAGTGGAAGTGGACAGCCTTCCTAGCATCCTGGCTTCAATGTCCCTGAACTTGACTGAGACGAGAAGTAAAGACTGGATGTTGAGGAGTTTCCTGGTCCTCGCTGGAAGTCGCTGTCTTTGTGTTGTTCACTTCCGCACCCTGTCTGTCCCCCTCCATACACCTTGCATTTTTGAATCAGGGTCTCACTGTGTAGCTTTGGCTGGGGTAGCAGTCTCATTTTTCCTCTCTCAGCCTCCTGTGTGTGCAGCAGCTTACCTTAGAAGGAATAAGGAGGAAGGTTTTCAATAGAGTAGAAGAGAGCAAGAGATGAGCCTAGTGTAGTGGCACACACCTTTATTCCCAGCACTCGGGAGGCAGAGGCAGGCGGATCTCTGTGAGTTCGAGGCCAGCCTGGTCTACAAGAGCTAGTTCCAGGACAGGTTCCAAAGCTACAGAGAAACCCTGTCTCAAAAAGCCAATAAATAAATGAATGAATGATAAGAGTAAACAGGACCCCAAAGGAGCTAGGGTATATTATATGGCAGAGTAAATATAAAATTCTACGGAGCCCTTAGTGGACAAAGGTGCTTTTCAAATCTTACAGTTGTATCTAGAATCACCAGTAAAAGGCTAAGCAATTGTGTGATGCTGACAGAGCCTCACATGTTGTCCATCTAGGGAGATGACCACTGTAGGATAACGGACTCTTTCATACCCTAATTTAGACTGTAAAGCTCCAAAGCCACAGAGAACCCCTGTCTTGAAAAACAGAAAGTATCTAGAGCACGGGAGGAATCAATTCTCAGTTATAAATAAGGTAACATTTTGGTCCCATTACAAATGAGATAAGATTATGAACGGGATTGTTGGTTTGTTTGTTTTTGAAGATAGGTTTTTTGTGTTACCCTAACTGTCCTGGAACTCGGTCTGTAGACCAGGCTAACCTTGAACTCACAGAGATCCACCTGCTTCTACCTCCAAGAGCTGAGATTAAAGGCTTGTGCCACTACTGCCCAGCTGTACATGATTCTTTTAAGGAAAACTCTTCTAGGTCCTGAACATCATTCTCTAGTCCTTATTCCTATTTTCTACCACAGTGTCTTAGCAAAGAACTTCCAGGTAGTCTTGCTGTTATCATAGAAACCTAAGGGCTACTTAGCATAAACTCAGTTGCTCATATCTGAATTTCTGCGTTGTTGTGTTGGAATGTGCCTTCCACTGGACAGGGTATTGACATTCTAAGGCAATTTTTTTTGCAGATAAATTAATAAGAACAGAAAAAGTAATGTAGCATATTCAACATAATATTTGGGATTGAGTTTTTAGCCCCATTTCCAGTTTTGCTCTAGGGGCTGTTGGGAAATGCATAAGTTGTGGGTGTCATGCTGTTAGCATTGAGTGTCTGGGACCTAAGGGTAACAATATCTTGTAGTTTGGTGGACAGTCTCATAGGAGTAGTAATTGACCTACCTGCACTCTCTGTCACACTCTTATTGAGCAGTAGCCCACTGGACAGGTACGTTTCTCTCTAATTTCTTATTAATCTAGCATAAGTTTCTTCTTTAGTTAAATTCTGTGTTTTAGGGTTGTATGTGAGCAAGTTTCTGTCTCTGGAAATAACCTAGTTTTACTGGGATTTTTTGTTGCCGTGTTGATGGTAAAGGCTGGGCAAGAGTCCTTCCGTTCTATCACCCGTTCCTACTACAGGGGAGCAGCTGGGGCACTGCTGGTGTACGACATCACACGGTGAGTGGGCGGGCGGGGGCGGGGGGCACCTGGGCTGACTTCTGCCGCCCTTTGCACACATGTAACTTCCCTTCTCATGTATTGGAGCAACTTTGGCTTTTTGAAACAGGGTCCTGACCAACATTCTAAATTGTTCCGCTGTAGACGTGAAACCTTCAACCACCTGACCTCATGGTTAGAGGATGCCCGCCAGCACTCCAGCTCGAACATGGTTATCATGCTGATCGGAAATAAGAGGTAAGGCTTTGGCTTTGTGAGAACCAGTTACTAGGAGGCACCAGACACTCCCTCTGGATACTGGATATCTTTTTGTTCTGTTTTGTTTTGATTTGATTTGATTTAGAGACAAAGTAGTGCTAGATGGCCTAGAACTCACTCGGTAGCCCTGGCTGGCCGAATTATGCGACCCTCCTGATTGTAGGCATGCATCATCTGATTGACACTGAATTTATTTCTTTTGTGTAACAGCCCTGGCTGGCTTGGAACTCATTTTTTTTGTAGACCAGACTGGCCTCAAACTCACAGAGATCCACCTGCCTCTGCCTCCCAAGTTCTGGGATTAAAGCATGCGCCACCAATACCCGGCTCAGACATTGAATTTCTTGATACTCAGACTTTCTTAATATATCATCTTAGTAAGAAAATGTTATTGTGGTAAGATATGTGTAAAATTTATCATTTTAACTACTTCTAGGTGTATTCTATAGCCCTAAACATATTAGAATTGTTCTGCAGATCTCACCATTATCCATCTTCATAACTTTGTCATTTTCGCAGACTTTGGAACCTTTGAATTATGCCATCTGCCTTGACCTTGGTGTCTTCCTCACCGTCCACTAACAACTTTTCTGCTTCTCTTTGTTGTTGAAGCTGGGCCTGTACCTTAGGCTGGCCTCAGTCCAACTAGATAGCCTAGGCCTAAGTGCTGGGGTCACATGAGTGTGCCATCACACCCGGCCTCTAGAGTCTTTCTCTCTCTCTCTCTTTCTTTTTTGAAAAGATTTATTTATTCTTCAGCTTGTATGTCTGCAGGCCAGAAGAGGGCACCAGACCTCGTTACAGGTGGTTGTGAGGCACCATGTGGTTGCTGGGACTTGAACTCAAGACCTCTGGAAGAGCAGCTAGTGCTCTTAATGTCTGAGCCATCTCTCCAGCCCCTAAATTCTTTCTTTATAAAATCAAGTACTTGGGATTGAGATGCATGATGTGAAAGACATAAAGAATGAATAAGTACCACGTACCGTATGCACCTTATAACTAGAATTACACAACGCTTGTGCTTTTATAAGTGGCTTACTTTATCTATCATAATGTCTTCATGCACTATTATAGCATATTATAGCATGAATCAGAACTTCCTTTTTTGGATTATAGTATTTATTATTACATTTCATTCACCTGTCTTTCTGTGGACACTTGGGCTGTTGCCACTTTTTGACTATTGTGACTGATAATGTCACGGGAAGAAAGATTTAACTGTTCAGATTCCTGCTCTGAGTTCTTTTGGCTATGTAGCCAGTCAGATTGCTGAATTGTATGGTAGTTCTGTGTTTCGTGTTTGAGGAACCACCCATGCAACAGCACCATTTTGCATTCCTGCCAGCAATTCACAGGAGTTCCAATTTACATTTTTGGCAAGACTTTGTATTCACAGTTTAAGTTTTAAAAATAATTTTAAAATTTTTTTAGTTTTAAAATACAATTAAAAAATTGTATCCATAGGCTAAAAGAAATGCCTGGCTGAGTTAGATCTAAGTCAGGTGTAGTGATGCGTATCTATTTGAGACAGAGGTAAGAGCTTCACAAGTTTAAGACCAGTCTGGACTATATAGCAAGTTCTAGGCTAACCTGGCTTATATATCAGAGCCCTGTTCTGTCTCAAAAATTAGGTTAGGGCCAGCAAGATGTTTGGTGGGTGAAGGTAGTGGCCACAGCGGCAGCCTGAGTGCACTTGCCTGGGCTGCATATGGGAGAACTGGAGAAGTGGCTGCTGAGGGCTGTCCTGTTGCCTCCATGTGCACACGCAGAGACATACACATTGATCAATAAATAAATGCAGTAAAAAAAATCAAAGCCAGGCAATGATAGCATATACCTTTAATCCCAGGAGGCAGAGGCAGGCCGATCTCAGAGTTCTAGGCCAGCCTGATATATAGAGTGAGTTCCAGGACAGCCAGGACTTCACAGAGAAACCTTGTCTCAAAAAACAGAAACAACAATATAATAATCAATGAGCCAGGCGTCACCATGTAATCCTAAGATTTGAGGAGTAGAGGTAAGTGGATCAGGATTTTTAAACTGTCTTTGGTAATACAGAGAGGTGGAGATTAGCCTGGCCTAAATGAACCCCAAAACAGGCTGGAGAGATAGTTCCCATTCCCAGCACCACTGCCTGGAACTCCGGCTATAGGGGCTCTCACACCCTCTTCTGGCCTCTATATGTACCCAAACACAAGTGGCATACATACACAGAATTTTTAAAAAAAAAATCTTAAAACATGAACTAGATCTAAATAACATTTTGTTTGGGTCATTGGGATGGCTCAGTAGGTAATGACACTTGCTGCCAAGACTAATGGCATAAAGTTTGATCTCTGGATCATACATGGTAGAAAGAGAGAGCCAACTTTTCCCATACATTACCTTTGACCTCTACATATATGGCATGTCACATGTATACCCACACGGGTAGACACATGCACACACACACACACACACACACACACACACACACAATAAATAAGTACAGTGTATTGAAAACAACATACTTCTCTGGAGACAGAATCTTGGGTGTCGTGGGCTGGCTTTAACACACTGTGTAGCCAAGGGTAATCTTAATCTTCTAATCTTCCTGCTTTTATCTTCTCAGTGCTGGGATTACTAACAGTAAGCACTGCATACCTGGACTGAAACCAGTTCTTTGTGCATATTAATCAAGCATTCTACCACCTGAAGTCCACACTGTGGACTCTGAAATAATAATGTAATTGTTATGCCCACATCATGAGCCCTCCAGAAACCACCAGGAGTCTGAGTTCATATGCAAATCAAAGAGCCATTATTGCAAACTTGGACCATGTTGGATCAGGGAGAGCATTGTGCTCAGCTATGGCAGGGTTTTTAAGGAGTAAAGGATGGGGGTAGGGGAATTCCTGACTCACGTGGGGGTTGAACTCCTGATTGGACAGGACTGGGGTTACAGAAGTCTTGTCAAACAAAGGTTGGTACTGGTGTTGCTGCAAGGAACCTGGCAACCAATGTACAAGTTAAGGAAGCTATTCTTAAAGTTCTGGAGCCCCTGGTGCTTATTTGTCTCAATTCTGATTGGTCCCTTCAGGGTACAGTCTGTAGTTTTTCCTGGTTATTGGAAAGGTAAGGCCTAGGCCCCAGTATCCCTGTACTGTTTGTCTGCAATCTGTCACTGCTGCACTAATGTTGCTAGGCCTTCTCAGTAACAACTATTTGAAGAATTGTAAGGATAAATTAAAAGAAAACGATTTCCTTTTTTAAAAAACTCCATTCTTACTGGGTAGTGGTATTGCTCCATTCCTTAATGCCAGAATTTGGGAGGCAGAGGCAGTGGATCTCTGAGTTCAAAGCCAGCTTGATCTACAGAATGAGTTCCTGGACAGCCACAGCTACACAAAGAAACCCTGTCTTGAAAAACAAAAACAGCCGGCAGTGATGGCGCATGCCTTTAATCTCAGCACTCGGGAGGCAGAGGCAGGGGGATCTCTGTGAGTTCGAGGCCAGCCTGGACTACAAGAGCTAGTTGCAGGACAGGCTCCAACTCCACAGAGAAACCCTGTCTCAAAAAACAAAACAAAAGAAAAAAAGAAAAACAAACAAAAAGCAAAATTCTGTTTTCAAATAGCAATAGTTGCTATTCACCTGTGTGTCTGTTTCTTTATGCATAGTAAAGCATGGGAATCAGCAGTGGAGTCTTCCACTCTCATTTCCTATTACATACTGATTTTGAAAATTATTATTACTATTACCATTATTTTATTTTCTGAGATAGAATTACACCAAGTAGCCCTGGTTGGCTTGGGATTTGCTCTGTAGACCAAAATACCCTGGAATTTACAGAGATCTGCCTGTCTCTGTCTCTATAGCACTAATAATAAAAACCCAGATACAGATATTGGGGTTCAAGCTGAAGATCAGAAAAGCAAAACAACCAAGTCACTAGAGAAGTCTTACCTCTACCAAGGCTGGGAGACTGCAGACTGAGCCCTGATGCTCTGTCTCCTCCCCTTTAGTGTTGGGATTAAAGGTATGTAACTCCCTTGTACTGGGATTAAAGGTGTGAGCCACCACCACCAGGATCTATTTCTGCATTGATTTTGTATAGCTCAGGGTGGCCTTGAACTCACAGAGATCTGTCTGCCTCTGTCTCCCAAATCCTAGGATTAAAGGTGTGTGATGCTACTGCCTGGCCTCTAGTGGCTTAGTATTACCCTCTGATCTTCAGGCAATCTTTATTTACTAAAACATAAATAAAATATCACTATATGCCTCCGGAGTGCTGGGATTTAAGGTGTGCATCACACCCAGCTTTATTTTCAATTTTGAAACAGAATTTACTGTTGTAGCCAGGCTGGCCTTCAGTCACAATCCTTTAGTCTCAGCTTCCCAAGTACAAACTTTGAACACTTTGTATTTTTGTCTTATGCCATTTGTGGTGTGTGGAAGCCAGGATGGACATAGTTGTAGGGGAATAGAAGGCAGAAGCTGCATTTTTATGTTAATTTGGGGGTCCCTTTTGTTGATTTGATGTTCTTTCTTTCTTTCTTTTTGGTTTTTCAAGACAGGGTTTCTCTGTAGCTTTGGAGCCTATCCTGAAACTAGCTCTTGTAGACCAGGCTGGCCTTGAACTCACAGAGATCCTCCTGCCTCTGCTTATAATGATGAAGTACCAATCTTCACAACATGAGGAACTGTATTAAAGAGTCGCAGCATCAGGATGGTTGAAAACCACTGAGCTACAGTTGGGAGAGGAGGGAGCCCCAGTTGAGAAAATGCCTCTATAAGACTGAGCTGCAGGTGAGCCTGCAGGGCATTTTCTTTTTCTTTCTTTCTTTTTTTTTTTTTTTTAAAGATTTATTTATTATGTATACAACTTTCTGCCTCCATTTATACCCACACGCCAGAGGAGGGCGCCAGATCTCCTTACAGATGGTTTGGAGCCACCATGTGGTTGCTGGGAATTGAACTCAGGACCTCAGTGCTCTTAACCACTGAGCCATCTCTCCAGCCCCCAGGGCATTTTCTTAATTAGTGATTGATGGGGGAGGACCCAGCCCCTTGTGAGTAAGACCACCCCTGGGCTGGTAGTTTTGAGTTCTATAAGAAAGCAGGTTGAGCAAGCCATGAGGAATAAACCAGTAAGCAGCACCCTTCCATGGCCTCTGCATCAGCTCCTACCTCCAGGTTCCTGCTTTGAGTTTCTATCCTGACTTCCTTTGATGATGAACTGTGATGTGGAAATTTAATCTAAATAAACCCTTTCCTCTCTGTGAGGGCAAGCTGTGAAAATCTAAGTCTGGGCAGGTCACGCAAAGGAAATTCTTTACTTCCTCCAACCATTATTACCTGGGACTCTGGCCATGGATGAAATTCCATGGAGGCTGGAGTCTCAGTTGTTTACCCTGAGACAGTGCCAGGCTGCAGGAGGAACCATAAACTGAGATCACTTGACCCCCACCCAAGAACAGACCATTCAAAGGAAATTCCTGGCATTCCAAGCACTGTAGATAGAAACACCTGCCAGTCACCAGGAAACCCTAGGTGAATGTCAACTAATCAGGGGTCTTAAAACCACAGAAACCCCTCACCCCCACCTTTACTACTATAAAACCCTATTGTAATTGAACTCGGGCTCTCCAGTTATTTCAGTACATTGGACATGCTGAGAGTTTGCAAACTCGATTAAAATAAAGGCTCTTTGCTTTTACACACGGGACTCTTGGTTTCCTCGTTGGCTTGCAGGGATGCGGATTTGGGCATAACACTCTCCAAGTTTCTTTTGGTCATGGTGCTTCACTGCAACAATAGTGATTCTTTTATTTGTTTGATTACTTGCTTGTTTGTTTTTCAAGACAAGGTTTCTCTGTAGTTTTGGATCCTGTCCTGGAACTCCCTCTGTCTACCAGGCTGGCCTCGAACTCAGAGAGATCCATTTGCCTCTGCATCCCAAGTGCTGGGATTAAAGGTGTGTGCCACCACCGCCCAGCAACAATAGTAATTCTAACTAACACAATAGATTTCTTTTTTTTTTTTTTCTTGATTAAAAAGCCAGACTATAGGGGCTGGAGAGATAGCTCAGTGGTTAAGAGCACTGGCTGCTCTTCCAAAGGTCCTGAGTTCAATTCCCAGCAACCACATGGTGGCTCACAACCATCTGTAATGAGATCTGGTGCCCTCTTCTGGCGTGCGGGCATACATGGAGGCAGAATGTTGTATGCATAATAAATAAATCTTTTTAAAAAAAAAAAAAAAGCCAGACTATAGAATCTCTCAGACAAAATTTCCCATTTGAGAAACCAAAGCCAGGTAGGTCAATCTGTTTTCAGCAGCTTTCTATTCTAGATTTCCCGGCCTTCCCATGCTGCTTTTCTCCATTTCTGCTTCTGGTTCTTCTTTCCTGTTAGACCATAGATCCACATCGCTTTCTCTAATTATGAAGTGCGAAGTCTCCTTATACACACTAGAAAGGACTGTTCTCCTTATTTCTGAATTAATCTCTCATGAGTTCATTCTAGGAAAAGAAAGTATCATCACTATAGGGTGAGATCTCCTTGGATTTGAGCCTGCTACTAAATAGCACCTCACTTTATCATCTCTACTGTGTTATCATGGATCCCATTTGAAAAGTCACAGGGTATCTGGGAGTAGCTGCGAACACCAACACTCAGGAGGCAGAGTCAGGCAGATTTCTGTGAGTTTCAGGCCAACCTGGTCTACAGAATGAGTTTCAGAACAGCCAGGGCTACCCAGAGACACCCCTGTCTCAAAAAACACACAACAAACAAAGAAACAAAGACATAGGGTACCTCGGGTGAGTGAGGTTTGCTCACTTCTATGTAAGCCTGTTTTTGTAACAGAGAACAGTTGTATCTTCAGCCATGCAGATGCTACTGTGAATGTAAATAATACCTCCCAAGAGACTGCAAGATTATCATAGGGTTCACACCTCTCAAGCATTAGTTGGCAGTTAACTGTGATGGGATCCTTTTAGAACTATAGTTACCGCTTTCTCTTAAATCTTTAAAGTTTTGCCTGAAGGTGGTAGCGCATGCCTTTAATCCCAGTACTTGGGAGGCAGGTGGATTTCAGTGAGTTTGAGGCCAGCCTGGTCTACAAAGCGAGTACCAGGATGGCCATGACTGTTACACAGAGAAACCCTGTCTCGAAAAAAAACAAAAAACCCCACAAATTTTATAAAGTGTTCTCCCTAATTAATCTCTTCCAGTGATCTGGAATCCCGGAGGGATGTGAAAAGAGAAGAAGGAGAGGCCTTTGCTCGGGAGCATGGCCTTATATTCATGGAGACGTCAGCCAAGACGGCCTGCAATGTTGAAGAGGTATCACCACAGGGGAAGGGGAAAGGGCTCAGAGGCTGTGCTGTTGTAGTCTTCAGAATCCTCTTCTCCAGGGGATATGATTCCATTTTCTTCCACCCTAATTCCTAAGGTTTTACTTTTGCCTTTTTATAACCTTATTGGTATGTGAGGATTAGATGCCGCTGTTACTTATAAGTCACTTCAGTTGGGAATCTGACAGAAACTGTCCTCATGGTGATGACAGGTATTGACTGCATTGCCTGGCTGAGTTGTTTATTTGCGCTGGCAGCTAACCTATAACCTAGGAACATCAGTACCTGAATACAGTAGCTTCACCTTTTTACAATTGTACTTAATGTGTTTCCTTGTGGTGGTGGTGGTTTTATTTCTTTAAATACAGTCATGCTATACAGACCAAGCTATCCCAAAACTTGCTGTGTAGCTCAAGCTGGCCTCAAATTTGCAATCATGGAGTATATTAGTCCCTGGGGTATTGGGATGATAGGTATGCATTCCATAGCTACTCAATGACTTCTACAAGGACATTTGTGGAAATTATACTTTTTTTGTTTGTTTTTTCAAAGATTTATTTATTATGTATATATACAGCCTGTTTGTCTGCACACCAGAAGAGAGCATCAGATCTCATTACAGATGGTTGTGAGCCACAGCATGGTTGCCAGGAATTGAACTCAGGACCTCTGGAAAAGCAGTCAGTGCTCTTAACCTCTGAGCCATCTCTCCAGCCCTGTTTGTTTGTTTTTTAAGACAGGGTTTCTCTGTGTGGCCCTGACTGTCCTGGAACTCATTCTGTATGCCAGACTGGCATCGAACCTAGAGATCCGTCACCTGAGTGTTGGGATCAAAGGTGTGCGCCACCATTTCCTAGCTAAGATGGTTTGTTTTGTTTTTTGAAACAGGATCTATGTAACCTTGGCTGGCCTCGAACTTACTACATAGACCAGGCTGCCTCAAAGTCATAGAGATCCACCTGCTTTCTGCTTCCATAGCTCTGGGATTAAAGGCATATACTACCACCATGCTTAGCTGAAATTTTCTGTATTACTGCCTTCTACTGTTTCTTAAGATTTCAGTTAGTTAGTTGTTAGTTTGAGTTAGAGTGTTTCTGGTAGCTCTGGCTGATCTGGAACTTACTGTGTTGACCAGACTGGCCTCAGACTTGTGTGATCTTCTTACCTCTGTCTCCTCAGTGGTGAAATTACAGGTATGGACCACCACAGCCAGATCCTTAATTCGCCAAAGTAATCCAAATAGGGATATTTGTATTTCTCTCATCTCTTGATTTAAATTTAAGATTGATAAATGATTTATGTCTTTCTCAGGCCTTCATTAACACAGCCAAAGAAATATATAGGAAGATCCAGCAGGGTTTATTTGATGTCCACAATGAGGTAAGAAAGGCCGGGGCTGGAACTGGCAGTTACCTTGATGGAAGCACCCTAGAATGTCAGCATTCCTGCCTGACGTCAGACCAATCAATCACAGCTGTCAATTCAAGCTTTTTTTTGTGGGGGCGGTTGAGACAGGGTTTCTCTGTAGCTTTGGAGCTTGTCCTGGAACTAGCTCTTGTAGACCAGTCTGGCCTCAAACTCACAGAGATCCACCTACCTCTGCCTCCTGAATGCTGGGATTAAAAAGCATTGCCACCACTGCCTGGTGTTTTTAAAAAGTACAGATGTCGGGCTGGAGAGATGGCTCAGTGGTTAAGAGCATTGCCTGCTCTTCCAAAGGTCCTGAGTTCAATTCCCAGCAACCACATGGTGGCTCACAACCATCTGTAAAGAGGTCTGATGCCCTCTTCTGGCCTGCAGACATACACACAGACAGAATATTGTATACAAAATAAATAAATAAATAAATAAATATTTTAAAAAAAAAAAGTACAGATGTCTAAGAACCCATCATCAGTTTCTGTTTTCTCTCAAGTCTGAGCTCCACAGTGCTGAAAGAGATAAGTTGGTGGTCTACAGACTTATATGAGTTTTTTTCTTCTTGACTTCAGTTGTTTACTATTCCAAAATTTGAGAGAGAGCTAATTCGTAATTGCTTAGGAGGGGAAGGTCTGGGACAGGACAAAAAATGATCATATGCTAATATGCCACTTCTCTTTTGCTTCACTTACTCGTTAAAGAAAGTATGTGTATGTGGTATGCATGTGTATCTATACATGTTCACATGTGTGTAAGCAAAAGTGTGGGTGCTCATGTGGAGGTCTAATGTTGGCAGCAGGTACCTTCACCGTTGGTCTTCACCTTACATATTGAGGCGTGGTGTCTTGCTGAATCCAGAGCTTACTATTTAGACTAGTGTGGCTAGTCAGTTTGCTGTAGGGATTCCCTGTCTTTGCCTCCCGAGGACTGGGATTGAAGGTGTGCTGCCATGGCCCCACTGGCCCTTATATGGCTTGTAAGGATCTAAAGTGTGGCTCTCATGTTTACATGGCAAGTACTTTCCCTGCTCGCCATCTCTTCAGCCCCATTAGTTCTCCTGCTCAATTCTGCACACAGCTATGAGATTTATGCACGACAGCCCCAAAGCTACCTCTGGTCGCCCCGCATCATGGCCTGATTTCTCTACAGCCGTGTGAGGAGAACAAGATTCTCAGAGTTTATCTGAAGATTTCTCCTTTATCCCCGACCTTACTCTCGTTCACTTCACCACTGATGTCGGAATTGTTGCCTTTTTCCTTTTGCAGGCAAATGGCATTAAGATTGGGCCCCAACAGTCAATTTCAACATCATCAGGACCAAGTTCCTCACAGCGGAACTCTTGTGACGTAGGCTCTGACTCTGGCTGCTGCTGAACATCTGACATCTGGCCTGAACTCTTTTTTTTTTTTTTCCTTTCCTGGAACAGCTTTAGATCAATCAGCTTAAAGAAAGAGGTCTTACTTGCTTTGGCTGAGAGCAGGCTCTTTTCAGTGTGCTATGTTTCACCCTTCACTTAAAACACCAGGAGAAAATTGGGCCCTTACTAACCTGTCCTCCATTAGGGACGCGAGTAACCAAATAGATCAGGGCTCCTCTCATCCTCTGATTTCTAAAATGTTAGGATCAAAGTCGATTGTCACAGTAGTTAAAAAATAAACAACTTACTAAGTATCTACATCTGTTTGCTAGGTGTGGTGGCACATACCTATAATTCCAGCGCTCAGGAGTTTTGGCAGGAGGATCTCCATGAGCCTTGAAGTCAGTCTGGGCTACATAAGTATTACCAGGCTAATAGTATACACGGCTAACATAGTATCATCCTGTCTCAAAAGGAAAAAGTAGATAAAGGAGAAAAAAATGCATATATCTGTTCTTCACCTAATTTTTAGTAGCTAGGGTGAAGGATATGCTGATGGAACATTTAGGACTAAGGATCTGCATAATTTGGATGATAGCTCTGTACATAGTAATTTCATTGAGTTTATTTCTTTGCTGTGGAAACCCACTTGTCATTTCATAAGAGTTCCTCTAGAAGCTGGGTGCCTCGGTACCATCTCATTCCTAGTTTCTTTTTATTTATTGTGCACGTACAGAGCCTTAAATACCATTCTGCAGGAGCCCACCGCCTTGGTTTTTGAGACAGCATCTCTCACAGGAACCTGGAGCTTCATGATTAGGCAAGGCTAGCTGGCCCTTTTCATTGCTAGTTCCTGGTTGTTAACTACAGAACTTTGAGAGCAGCAGAGTTGGTGCTGGACCTGTAACCACATCGTTTACTTAAGAAAATGTTAGTTTTTCATTTTGTTTAGGGGACCAGTTCTAGCATTACAGTTTCTTTCACCAAATTGATTCCTACTGTTTCATCCTTTCTTTTGCCTCATTTTTTGTTTTGATGTGCGTGCGTGCGTGCGTGCGTGCGTGCGTGTGTGTGTGTTGTTTGAGAGGGGCTGTGCTAGGGATCAAATCTAAGTTCTTGAACATGCTAGGTAAGTGCTGTACCACTGAGCTGTACCCTTAGGAGCTTTCTCTTTTTTGTTTTGAGGCAAGTTGCCTAGGCTAGCCTTGAACTGTAGGCCTTAAATTTGGGATCCTGATATTCTAACCATATCTATTAGACTTGTACTCTAATCGATCTAATTGGCTTACTGAAGATGACATATTTCTCCCAACTTCTGTATTTCTGCACATGCTCTTCCCTCTACTAACATTCTGCTGACTTTCTCCTTGAGGAGATTCTTGGTGACTGGCCTAGAGAGTTTAAGAAATGATTAAACACGGTGTCTCTTAGCATTCCTATTTCAATTACTCATATGTGTATCTATTTGTTTTACCTTGTAAATATGTTTTGTAGGTTTTATTTTTTTTTGGAGGGGGTCTGTCTCATATAGGATGTAAGCTCTGTGAGAGCAGGGTCCATGACATTCCCAACCCATCACATCATTCTTTACCTGTGCAATTTATGATCTGGAATTTGAGTGACATACTTTAAAACTTAAGGCTTTAGACTTTAAAAGAAACAAAAGGCCTTAGAGTTGTGTCTTTGTAAATGTTTCTGTTTTCCCCATCTGCTTATCCTGGGTTCTCTGCTGCTCTTCTCTCCTGCCTCCATTCCGTGCCGAATACAGTAGGAACGCGTGCAACAAGACTCATCCGCTCTTAGACTGTGTGATGCAGTTACCTCTGCTTCACCCAGCGCACCGCCTTCTGGGACAGCTGCTTTCTTTTTTACTTGTCTCATTTTCTTTCACAGCACTGAGGTCTCACCAAATTTTCTAATTTTTATTGTTAATGACTGTTTTACTATTAAATATATGCATGATCCAAGCTGCTTCTATTTCATGCGTCATTTCTGATTATACCATAAGTGTAAGTAGATAATATCCTCTAAAGTATTGTGTCAAACATACCACCTTCTCAGAATTGGTTTATATTGAGCCCTGGTAGAAGCAGTAAAGTCAACATTATATCACAGGAACTTAGAAAACATATGGGCATTGAAGTGATTATGCTTTTGGTGTTTTGTTTTTTAACACTACTCATTCCAAAAAGATTTGTTGGTTGTTGAGTTTTATTTAGTCTGTTTCCTTACCAGGCAAAAAACTAAAGTATATAATTTAGAATGTTTCTTTTTTTTCATTTTTCCCTCCCTCTCTTCTTTTCTCTCTCTTTTTTAAACTTTTTAAAAATATTTATTTATTTATGTATTTATGTATTTATGTATTTATTTATTTATTATGTATACAATATTCTGTCTGCATGTATGCCTGCAGGCCAGAAGAGGGCACCAGCTCATTACAGATGGTTGTGAGCCACCATATGGTTGCTGGGAATTGAACTCAGGACCTTTGGAAGAGCAGGCAATGCTCTTAACCTCTGAGCCATCTCTCCAGCCCTCTCTTTTTTTTAATAGGACCATATAGCCCAGGCTGGCCTAGAACTCCTGATCCACCTATCTTAGCCTCCCGAGTGTTGACTGTGCCAGCACATTCATCAATGTTGTAGTTTCTATTAAAAAGTTTTTCTTTACTCTTCAATTCTTTTTTTTTAGCAGTTCATAAGGATTAGAGAATTGGCCAAAGACAGTATTTTGCCTACAGCTGTTATTCTCAGTGTGTGAAAGGGAAGCATTCTAAGTGTTGTTGGAGCATTATTAAAGGGAAAAAAACCTAATTCCCATATCCAATTGTATTATGTTTTATAACCTATGTTAGGTATTTTTTGTCAGTTTGAAAGGAAACAGAAAAGAATGTGGCTATAAATTCATGACCTGAGTCGAGTGACTATGAGTGTACACAGAAACATCTCGCACCCACGTGTGCTGAATGGTAATGATGAGACACGCTGGCTGTCAGTTGCCTTTTGAAGCCACGAACACTGACAATCATGTAATTTATAGGAACAAATCAGTGTAATTAGCAGAAATCATTAGATCATATACTTTCCCCCTTGCTACGATGCTTATAATGACTTCCTTTGTTGGGGGGTCTTGTATTCTGTACCAGAAAATAGCTAGAACAGTGATAGCCTCCTATTATAGAAACCATTAAGGGCTGGAGAGATGGCTCAGTGGTTAAGAGCATTGCCTGCTCTTCCAAAGGTTCTGAGTTCAATTCCTGGCAACCACATGGTGGCTCAAACCATCTGTAATGAGGTCTGGTGGTGCCCTCTTCTGGCCTGCAGGCATACACACAGACAGGATATTGTATACATAATAAATAAATAAATATTAAAAAAGAATTATTTAAAAGAAACATTAATAATTGAGATGTGCCTCTTTGCATTTGCACAGACACTGTTTACACAAAACATTGTTCTCATAAATCCTAATACTTGAAATTTATACAGTGGTATTTAGAGCTAGGAAAGAATTTGACAAAGATATATTCAGTATACAAGGACAATTAGTGATCAAGTCTTATTTTCTCATAAAATATTACATGATTTTTTGGTTTTGTTTTGTTTTTGTTTTTCGAGTCAGGGTTTCTCTGTATAGTCTTGGCTGTCCTAGAACTCTATAGACCATGCTGGCTTCAACTCACAGAGATCTTCCTGCCTCTGCCTCCCAGTGCTGGGATTAAAGGCATGCACCACCACTCAGCTTGACATGATTTCTTAACTCTATGCCCATGCATAGAGTTATGCTACTTTTTGGAAAATTCCCTTAATAACTGAAAAGCCTCCATCCATAAATCTTGAAAAAAAGTGTATTTTAAAGATTTTTGAAAGACTAGAGAGATGGCTGAGCTGTTGAGCATGTACTGCTCCTTCAAAGTACAAGAGTTCAGTTCCATGTCCTGCATGTTGGATGGCTCATAGCCACCTGTAACTCCAGCTCCAAGGGGATCCCACACCTCCACTTTGTGCCAGCTTCAGCACTCATGCACATACATATACACATAATTACAAATATAATAAAAATATTTTTAAGAGGAAGTTTTGTAGGTCTTGCCATGCAGCCCAAGCACCCTGACAGTTTCCAGTAGTGGTATTTAAACAAACAAACCCCAAAACTAATGTGAAACTGTAGTTGGCAGAACTCTAGAAAATACAGGAACACCTTTCTCTGTTCATTTCTCAGATGAAATTTTGCTTCTTTCCAGTATAAATGACCCTGCCAATGATCCCTCTTCTAGGACTTATTTGCCCTGTGTGTATTCTTGAATAGTTTGAACTATTGGTAAACTTATTTAAGGTCCTTTAGGTGTTGGTGCTGGTTGTTTTGTTTCTTCGAGACAGGGTTTCTCTTTAAAGCTTGGAACTCACTTTGTAAACCAGACTGGCCCCTAATTCACAGAGATCTGTCTGTTTCTGCCTCCCAAGTGTTGGGATTAAAGGCATGCACCACCACTGCCTGGTTTAGGTCTTTTTGTTTTGTTTTTGTTTCTGCTTTTTTGAGACAGGGTTTCTCTGTGTAACAATCCTTTAGGCCAGGAAGGCCTGGAACTCACTGAGATCCTCTGCTTCTGCCTCCCAAGTGTTAGGATTAAAGGCATGCACCACCACCTCCCGGCTGGTCTTTTGTTTTTTAAGTGAAATTCCTCGCTCCTATTATTACTAAATGACTCAGTATTTTGGGTTGCTAAAATCAGAACAGGGGACTTGGGGTATGGTGGCACAGGTCTTAAATTCTAGTACTCAGCAGCAAGAGGTAGCCAGGTCTCTGGTTTTGAGGCCAGCCTGGGCTCCATAGCGAGTTCCAGACCAGCCAGGGCCAACATTAAGACCCTGTCTTAAAAACCAATGCTGGAAAATCTTTAATAGATGCATAGGTAAGCTGGTAGAATGGCTATGTAAACTGTAATCTGTGTCGATAATCCTGTTTATAAAAGATCACCTCCAAGAACTGGTCACACATTGATCATTCGAAAAACTTGATTTTGTTGACTTTAATGATAAAACAGCATCAGTCCAACATCTAAGTGAGAGGATAGTGGGGCTTGCTTCCAATCACGTTTCCCACGTTATTCCCAGAGTCCGTCACCCTGACCAATAGGTGTCATGAGTATGTGAAGGGAAAATATGTTGGGGCAGGACCCAAAGGTGTTCACGGAGTCAGCCCACCCAAGACAGGCGGCAGGTGCAGCCCGTGTCTGGGGTACCCCCAGTGGCTGGGGTCAGAGGCCGGTGCTGCCAGCCCGCGGGGCACTTGTATTTCCAATCAGGCAAATCTGCGGATGCCTACGCAGCCTTCTCAGCCCCGGGCCCGCCCAGCCGTCGGAGACTTCCTGGACGGCGGCCCGTTCCGGCCCTCCCATTGGTGGGTGGCGGACGGTGGGCGGGCCCCCGTGGAGGCCTAGCAAGCTTGCCTGCAGCGAGGGCTGGCCGTGCTCCGCCGGAAGGCGCCTTGTTCTCCCGGACGGCGGCTCGCAATTCGGCCAGGGAAGGGAGCTGGCTGCGGGACCGGCTCAGGTAAGCGTGCGGCACGCGCGCCTCCGCCGAGCCGGCAGTGGGTGGGGTCACGCGGGCGCTCTTGGGAGCGCTCGGGTGCGGGGATGCTCCTTTGTGAGAGGCCGGCGCCCGTCCCGGCGCCGGGGCGGTTGTGGAGTTTGGAGCTTGTCATCGCCCTCCTGGGCGAGGCGCACACTCGGGGCAGCTGCCTTGCTCTTCTTCCTCCTTCGCGGGAAGAAAAAGTCCCTTGCTCGGTTTGGTTACTCCATACTTTGGACTCAGAAGTGTGAGGCTAGGGTTTTATTTTGTTTGGCTGTTTTTGTTTTCTCTCCCGTCTTTTCTGCGTTTTAGTAAACGTGGGTAGAAAAGCATGGGGTGAGCGTGCGTAGATTTGTTATGTACCCGATTATTGTGGGGCTGTTGCAAAGTAGAGATGATGGGGAACCCGCTCAAGTCTTGTCTTCTTTGACAGGTCTGCAGGTTTTGACACATTATGTAAACTTTTCACTAAGAGAGGACCCCTCCCTCTGTCTTTTAGCGTATACAGTTGTTTTGTTTTGTTTTACCTGTCTCCGGTGTCTTCAAAACTGTGCCTGCCATTTGCTGCATCTGTGCATATGCAGCAGCTCCTGTTTAAGGGGTAGTCGGTAAAGGCTTCCTAGAAGAGGTATGTAGTGGGCCAGTCTTTGCACTGAGTTAGCAAAGTGTCTGTTAAACACTACACGATTTTCTTTTAAAGGATAGACATAATGGGGCATTTCAGACACAAGTGAGAAACTGCTCTGTCAGTGTCCGCTGTATCCTGCCATCTCATCTCTCTTTTGAGTTAGAGCCTCTCTCTTACTGGCTTTTCCTAGTGTCAGCGGAGGTCACATCGGATACTGGAAAGTGAACTTGTGATTTGGATGTCATCCTTCCCCCCCCCCCCCGCCCCCGCCTTTGAAACAGGATTTTTGACTGTCCTGGAACTCATTTTGTAGACCAGGCTGACCTCGAACTCACAACGATCCTGTTGCCTCTGCCTTCCCAGTGCTAGGATTAAAGGTGTGCACCTCTCTCTCTCCTTAATATTTATTTGTTTGTTTGTTTATTTATTTATTTATTTATTGAGAGCGTGTTCTGGAACTAGCTCTTGTAGACCAGGCTGGCCTCGAACTCAAAGAAATCCGTCTACCTGTGCCTCCCTAGTGCTAGAATTAAAGGCATGCACCACCACCATCCAGCATTTTTTAAAAAATAATTTTTATGGTTGACTGTGTAATTGACAACTCTCTTTTTTTTTTTTTCTTTTTCATTTTTTTGGAATTTTTCGAGACAGGGTTTCTCTGTAGTTTTTTGTTCCTGTCCTGGAACTAGCTCTTGTAGACCACGCTGGCCTCGAACTCACAGAGATCCGCCTGCCTCTGCCTCCTGAGTGCTGGGATTAAAGGCGTGCG